TCCACGCACGGGCGCCCGGAGCAGTTGGCTGGAGCAGCAGTGGGGTTGCAGGAGGCGGGACAGGCGGGGCCACAGAGCTCGTAGCGACTGTTGGCAGGGCAGGACAGGGCTGCGGGGAGACAGGGATAAGGGGTCAGGCCAACGCAGTGGGGCCCTCGAGGGACTCTCAGCGGGGAAAGTGCCAGGACTTCCCTCCCCAAAGAACCCTGATCCTCCCCCAGCGCTCCCCACCCTTCAGGCGCTCAGGCCTCAAACCTCAGAGTCAGAGTAGACCCCTCCTCCCTTCTTTCCCTGGACAACCAACCTGTCAGTAAATCCTGGGAGCTCCATATTCAAAGTCTACCCAGAATCTGCCCCCTTCTCCTATCATCACCGTTCCCGCCCCCACCCCCCATCCACTCCAGCAGCCTCCTCCCTGCTCCCCTCTGCCCCCTCACTCGCAGCCATGGGGACCCTGTGAACACCTGAGTCAGTTGACATCTGTCTCCTGCTCAGAGCCCATTTGTGGCTCTATCTTGTTCAGAGAGAAGGCCAGTGGCCCAGGAGGCCCCACACCATCTGCCCTCATCACCTCTCCTCCTCTCCTCTCATTCTCTCTCTGGCTCACTCTGCCCTAGCCACAGGGGCCTCCTCACGGATCCTCGCACTCTCCACTCAGGCCCCTATGCCTGTGTTGGACTTCCCTCGGAAGGCAGTACAGCATGTTATTAAGAGAAGGCTACTGAAGCCCAGATGGGCTGGGTTCAAATCCTGGCTCTCCCTTCTTAGCTGTGTGGTCATGAGCAAATGATTCCAACTGCCCTGTGTCTCAGTTTCCCCCTCAGTAAAATGGGATAATAATAGTACTGACCTCACAGGTTGTTGTGAGGAGTACATGAGTTCGTCTGTGTAGCATCATTGGTATTACTGAGCTGACTCTGTTGCCTTATCCTTAGTCTCTGCCCCTGTGTCACCTCCTCAGAAAGGTGTTCCCTAAGCACCTTCTTCATGATCCTCCCATTTGCTCTTATTACATAAACTTTATTTCTTTTGCTCTCTGGAGATATTCCACAGTTTATTGCTTAGTGGCTGTCTTCCTGATAGGACATAAGTTCTGTGAGAGTGGGGACCAGGTCTGCCCAATCACAGCTGAATCCTCAGCACCAAGGACAGGGCCTGGCCCAGGGGATGAGTGAACTCCCTGGTTCCTCTTCTGCACTAGGCATTAGGGAACTCTGCAGAGGGGAGTGAGAACTGGGCAGCGAGGACACAACAATGACCAAGACAAACCCCAAATGGCCTCAGTATCTACTCCAGACTTACTCCCCCTCAAGCCTTGGGCCTGGATGCCTCTTCCTTCCTCCCTTCTAGCCTTCTGCCCCCTGAACATTTCTCTGAGAACCTCACAGGGGCAGGAGCAGGTGGGTGAACATCACCAGCTTGGAGATGGGGACAGATAAGGACTTGGGGAATGCTTGTTGAATGAATGAATAAATGAGTGAAAGAATGATTAAGGGGATGGACACCTGGCTGAGGAGCTTGGACTTTATCCAGAGGACACTGGGAAGTCATGGAAGGGCTATAGAGAAGTGTTCACATTTCTGCTTTAAGGATGACCTCTCATGCCAAGCTTAGCATGTGCTCTTCCTTCAGCCTGCAACTCCCTTCCTGCTCCCCTTTTCCTATCTAGTTCCTAGTCTTCCTATGGGTTGTTGATTGGGTGTCCTTTTCTCTAATAAATCCTCCTTACTCCCCCAGACTGAGTCTGAAAACCGCTCTAGTCTCCCATTGACCCCTTGGACTTCCCCATGCTTTCCCTGACTGCTCTATCTATGCCTCCACCAACCTAGCCATGACCATTCAGGACTGTCACTGTCAAGTGATATGTCTGCCCCAACCTTAGGCTCACTGTGGGCACAGCCTGGCTATCTTGGCCATCTCCATGTCCCTGCCATGATCCAGCTCCAGGCTGAGCCACACTAAGTGTTCAGATGTTGAGCAGATGTAAGGGGTCCCCTGCCTCTCTCCATGTGTTCCCAGCCCCCACCAGGACATCACTCACGGCAGTTGGCTGGTGACCTCCAGTCCTTGATAGAGACGCCGAGCTCCAGACAGGCCTGGGCGTAGACACTGAGGCCACGGCACAGGCTGGAGCGGTCCCCATTGAGCACACACAGGTCGTATACACACTCCTTCAGGAAGGGCCAGGGGCTCAGGGTATCATGGCAGGCGGCAAAGGGGCCATTAGGCTTGGTCAGCATGCCGCAGAGACGGTCGCCCTCATAGTGCTGGGCCTGGCCTGGGGTGCAGGAGGGACAGTTGTCTTGGCAGCTGTCCTCACACAAGAAGTCCCCATCATCCAGCTTCCAGCTATTGGCAAACTCCACAACGTTGGGAGCCTGCTCCCCGTCAGGTGTGAGGAAGTCGTCAGTGGCATCGCCGTTGTAGTTGCCACACAGTCCGTACACCTGGCCTTGGAAGCGTGTGGGCAGGCTCAGTGCCAGCTGGCAGTCCCAGTCGTAGGAGACCACCAGCCCGAAGTCCAGCTCCACTATGGCCCGCCTCCCACTCTGGTACACACGAAGGCTACCCTCAGCCAGGGAAGCAGGCAGGCGCGAGCGCTGGTTGTCAATCTGCAGAAGGATGAGAAGGGAGGAGAGTGGTCACATCTCATGTGGTCCAGCCTTCAGACCCTCATCTCCTCCTACTTGCTTCCCTGCTCCAGCTGCAGTGGGATTCCTCCCTCCTATTACTGCCACCAATCAAGCCTCAGGATCTTTGCTGTTACTATCCCTGTGGAATGAAATGTTCTTCCCCTAGATCAGTGGTTCTCAACCTGTGGGTCGCCAACTTGTGGGTCACGACCCCTTTGAGGGTCAAATGACCCTTTCACAGGGTTCACCTAAGACCATCGGAAAACACATATATACTTACATATTGTTTTTGTGATTAATCATTATGCTTTAATGATGTTCAATTTGTAATAATGAAAATACATCCTGTATATCAGATATTTACATTATGATTCATAACAGTAGCAAAATTACAGTTATGAAGTAGCAACGAAAATAATTTTATGGTTGGGGGTCACCACAACATGAGGAACTGTATTAAAGGGTCGCAGCATTAGGAAGGTTGAGAACCACTGCCCTAGATGCACACATGGCTCACTTCCTGACCTCTTACAAAAGCTTTCCTCAAATGTTACCATCTCAACGAGGCCATCCTTGACCATCCTATTTTATATGACAACTCTTTCCTGCTCTATTTTGTTCTCATAGTTTCTAACCTTCTAATATATCATTTGCACGTATCATCTGTCTAACTCCATAGACTGCCAGGGATCCACAAAGATAGGGATCTTTGTCTGCTTTGATCCCTACTTCATTCCCAGTGCCTAGAACAGTGCCTGGTAGAACAGCAGGCACTCAGTGAGTGAATGAGGGCACTGCTGTGTCAAATAAACACTCACTGGGCACTCACTCTGCCTAGCCTGAGCTGGGAAATCATGGAGATCCAGGGATGACCAAGACAACTGACCCTACTCTCATGGGGCTCCCAGTCCAATGGTGAAGACAGACATTTCACTAGAAAGGTCAGAATGGGCAGGGCTGGGGTGGAGGCACAGGAGGCTGTGGGAACCTTTTGGGCCAGACCTAAACTTGCCGGTCAGTGACAGCTGAGCTGAGTTGTAAAAGATTAGTAAGAGAGAACCATGAAAATAGGGACTAGGAAGAGTATTCCTTTGCAAATGTCCCAGTGGAGAGAGTCTTCCAGAAGATAAGGAATATGTCCCTCTGTCCCTTGGACCCATTTCCTCTTCCTGAGTATCTTTCTTATGCTTTCTCCACATATTCTCATCTTAGACAAGAGTATGGGGTATAAGAATGGAGTAACAGGCAGAAGGAACAGCATGAGTGGTGGTCTGAAGATACAATAACTCATTCATTCATTCATTCATTCAATCAATCAGCAAAGCCTCCAAGAGCCCTACTGTGTATCTAGGTCTGTGCCAGGCAGTGCTGTGGACATAGCAGTGACTGAGACAGCCTGGGGTCCCACACTTATAGGCTCTCAGTCCAGGGATCACTGTTCAAATCTATTACTCTGCAAGAGCAGTGATCTCCATTTTTAAATAATACAAGTAATATTTGTTCATTACAGAAAACTTCCAAAATGTGTATGAGCAAAACAGAAAAGACAAATCACCCATATTGCTGTACACACACACACACACACACACACACACACACACACACACAGCATTTATAAATCCTGAAATATTTTTGTCTTCTACCTTTAAATACATTTATATTTTTCTAAAAAACAATGAGACCATGCTAATGTCACCATTTCATGAACTCCTTTGTTCTCCTAACATCTTGTGGACATCCTGCCATGATTCAACCAAGAGCTTTACACTTGTGTCAGGTCACTGACAAAAGCAATGGACCCTCTTCCATGTGCAAAATTCTGCAAATAATTTCAAGGGATTTGAAGCCCCCCTTAGTTTGTGCTCAACCCCCCTAGATCTCAAGAACACCAACTTTAATCCACCTGGCTGTTAATCTCACAGATCCACCTGCACACTCATAAAATTAGGGAGGTCTGAAAATATTCACTGCAGTACCATTTTCCATCAAGAGCAAAGTGTCCATCAATGGGAGACTGAGTTCAATGAACTATGATGCAGCCATGTGATGGAGAAGGGTGCAGCTGTAAGAAAGAAGGGAAGGCTCTCTATCCATCGATATGGAAACAGAATGGATGATTCAGTGCAAAAAGCGAAGTGCAGAACAGAGCACACAGTACAGCACACTTTTCTAAGACAGGGGAGAGGTAAGAATGTATGCTTATGGTTGTTTGTATTGGCATAAAGAAACCCTAGATGGACACCCAAGGAATGAGTAAAGTCATTACCTGTGGGGAGTGGGAGAAGATCAGATGAAGATAGGCTGAAAGCAAGACCTCTCACAACATGCTCTTTCTTTGTGTTGAGCTATGTGAAGGCTTTATCTATTAAAAAATTAATTGCAGTAACATGAGAGAACCTCAAAATTATTATGCTGAGCAAATGAAGCCTTACACAAAAGGCTCCTGAGACTGGATGATTTCATTAATATGAAGTTCTTGAACAGACAAAACTAATCTATGGAGGAAAAAAAAAATCAAAACTGTGATTGCATCGAGGGTGGGTTGGGATTTGTTTGGGAAGGGGCATAAGGAAATGTTCCAGAGTGATGAACATATCCTGTATCTTAATACAGGTTTGGGTTGCATATTTGCCAAAACTCAGTGAACTGTACACTTAAAATGTGTGGCTTTTATTATGTATAAATTTAATTTCAAAAGTAAGCAATAAGAAGTGTAAAAATAATGTATTCCAGTTATGATATGGATGTTGAAGTCTTTAGGGGTGAAATATACTGGTGTCTGGAACTTACTTTGAAGTGCATAAAAAAATAAGATGGAGTGTTGAATGGGCAGAGAGATGATCAGATGATATATGTGTGATAAATCAGGAAGAGTAAAATATTTAGAATCTAGATCAGGGGTGGGGAACCTTTTTTCTGCCAAGGGCCATTTGGATATGTATAACATCAATAGAGGTCCGGTGCATGAAAATTCATGCACTGGAGGGGGGGGGGTCCCTCAGCCCAGCCTGCACCCTCTCACAATCCTCAGGGGTGGAAGGCTACCCAGCAATCAGGGAAGGTGACGCCCCGTCACACCTCTGCTGCTGCCACTGCCGGCAGCGCAAGCCTTGGCTGGCCCTGGTTACCTGAGCCTTGGGCGACCCTGGGCAGCTGGGCAGCCACCATCCAAGGCTTGCCTGCACCTTGGGCTGGCCCTGGGTGGCTGGGGGGGGCTGAAGGGACTGGGCACCGCCATCTTGTGGCTGTGGGCACTGCCATCTTTGAGGGCGGGGCAGTCAATTAGCATATTCCCTCCTTATTGGCTGTGGGCACCACCATCTTTGCAATGGTATGAGGGTCAATTAGCATATTCCCTCTTTATTGGATAGGATTCTTGAGCCATACAAAATCATCAACTTAAAAATTAGCCTGCTATATTTGGCCAAACATTTAATTAACTCACCCCTAATGCCTTGGCAGGGCCAGACCAAATGATTTCAGGGGCCTTCTATGGCCCGCAGACCAGACGTTCCCCAACCCTGATCTAGATGATTGGCATACGAGTGTTCACTGCACAGTGATTTTAACTTTTCAGATGTTTGAACATTTTCATAATAACATGGTGGAGAAAAATGAATAATTGCTGTATTCTGTTATTGTATTGACTGAGTAGTAATCCATTTACCAGAGGCAAAAAGACTAGAGGTTAAGAATAGGGATGTATGTACTAGCCTACCTATATTCCCAGCTCCATCTCCTATAGCTCTAAGATCATTGGAAGTCACTCATATCTCTGGACCTCAGTTTCCTCATCTATACTAAGAAAAGGACAAATATGCTAATTAGACCAGATGTCCTTCTGGACATCCTTTCAGACAAAGCCACAGTGGCTGCAAGGGCCAAGGGCCAGGAGGAGAGAGCAGTTAGGCAGTTAGGGGGATCAGGCCAGCAGGGTAGAGCAGTTAGGGAGATCAGGCCAGGAGGGGAGAGCAGTTATCCAGACAAAGCCACATTGGCGGAGGCTGAGGCAGAGGTGGTTAGGAGCGATCAAGCTGGCAGGGGAGAGCAGTTAGGGCAGTTAGGGGGATCAGGCTGGCAGGGTAGAGCAGTTAGGGGGATCAGGCTGGCAGGGTAGAGCAGTTAGGGGGATCAGGCTGGCAGGGGAGAACAGTTAGGCAGTTAGGGGGATCAGGCCAGGAGGGGAGAGCAGTTTGGCAGTTGGGGAGATCAGGCTGGCAGGGCAGAGCAGTTAAGCAGTTAGGGGGATCAGGCAGGCAGGCAGGTGAGTGGTTAAGAGCCAGTAGTTCTGGATTGTGAGAGGGATCCCAGATTGGAGAGGGTGCAGGCCAGGCTGAGGGACCCCCCTCCCCGCGCCCCCCCCCCCATGCACAAATTTCATGCACCAGGCCTCTAGTTGATAATAATAATAATGCCTATCCTGAAATTTTCTGTGAATATTAAGTGCATTAAAACCTGGAAAATGCTAAGAAACAAATCTGGCACATAGTGCTCACTAAAGCTAGTGTTTGGTCACTTAAGAAATTCCCCATTTTGGGACATTTTGTTTTCTTTTTCCCTACCATTATTATTGTTGTTGTTGTTGTTATTTGCTATTACAAACCACAATGGCATAAACTTTTTTCCCTAGCCATATCTCTGAGCATCCTTAAAATTTTTAGAAGTACAATTGCTGGACAAAAGGGGTTTAAGATTCTGCCACGGATTTTCAAATCCCTCCTTCCCAACCCCCACATCCTGGGTCCACTTCTTATACCCTCCACTCTTGGCAAAGGGCTCAGATTGGGGGGCCCCGACACCCAGGCTTTGCCTCCTCCTTCTAACTGATGGGAAGACACAGGGTTCCTTACCCGGGCGAAACCAACTTCTCCGCGGGCCAGCGACACAGAGTGGCTGTAGGCGTGCACGGTGACGAAACCCACATAGGAGACCCTGCGGCTGCCACGGTGCTCGTTCTTGGCCTCCACGCTGAAGGCTGGCAGTGTCTGGTCCTCGCTGTTCAGCTCCACCATCGTGTACGAGCACGTGCCCATCATGTCGTAGCGACGGCCATCGAAGGTGGTGTAATGGGGGTCACCCTGGGCTCGGCAGACGGCCACGGAGCCTGGCATGCACTTGGCATGCCCATCCACCACCTGGCAGATCTGCGAGGGAGGGCACTGCACACCTTCGCAGGAGGGCTTCTCCGCAGACAATAGGGCTGGGGTGGGAGGAGGGGCGGTGAGGGAGAAGTTAGGAAATGTCCACGTGGGTGGGAATCCTGGAGCAATCCCGCTGCAGGGAGTTTGGGCAATGTGCTCACAACTACCCATTTCAGAAGCGGGGAAACTGAGGTCTGGAATCTCAGAGGGAGAGAGCTGCTCAGGCCTAACCCAAGCCCAGGTTCCCTGATTCCCCAGTAAAACACAGCTCAGCCCAGAAGGACTGGAAGGTAGTGGAAAAGGACCGGCAGGAACAGTCATGGCATACCTAACTTGTTAATTTCCTCCTCTCCCCTACCTTCTCACTCAGGGCAAAATGCTAAGGCAGAAGATGGAAGACAGAGACTGTTCAACAGAAAGGAAATGACAGTGGAGTCAGGCCGCCCAGGTTAGAATCCCGGCTCAACCAATTAGCTGTGTGACACTGGACAGGAATGCTCAACTCTCTGTGCCTCACTTTCCTCACTGGTGACATTGATGACAAGGACACCTTCTTCACAGGGATTTTTGGGGAGGGGTGCTGCCAGGTTTAAATAAGCTGAAACTAAGTCGGGCTGGGAACTGCCCCAGGTGTTATAATTGATCACCTACCCCCTCGCCATTCTACTACTGAAGCCCAAAGTGGCCCTTTGAAATTGAGTGGTTTTATGCCATGGAGGGGTGGAGGGAGGGACATTTTCGCCAGCATTGGGAACCCTAGTGTCTAGGTCCTAGCTTAAGGGGTAGGGGGTCCAAATAAAGAGAAACAGTTTCTCCTCCTCTGCTTCCTAGTCTTCAGAAGCTCTTGCCTTCTGTCTACTCGTAATCGCAGCTTACCCTTCCGTAGCCCTACTCACTTGCCAGGTACCCCCAAAGTGCTTTACAAATGTTTACTCATTACACCTGTGGAGGGGGTGCTGTTATTATCCCCATTTTACAGAAATGGAAACTGAGGCCCCCAGAGATGAAGTCATATGCCCCAGGTCACACAAGCAGAGGTGGTATTTGAACCCCAGAAGCCTGGCTCTCCCATCTGTGCCATCAAGCGCTGCCCTGCCTGGAAGCAGCTTCTCAATGTGCTGAGCCTGAGGTTGCATATAGGGCCAGGTCCTAGAGATGAACTACATTAACGCGCGAGGCACCTGGTATATTGAGAGAGAAGTACCCTGGCATGGGAGGCATCATTATTATTATACTTTTAGGCCTCCTGAGTTTGGGCATAAACATTCCAAAGCAGGTGTGGGAGAGTATCCGTTAGCAACTGGTATAGTTGTGTATCAGTTGCTAAAATGTAAAAATATTTATAAACAAGTTGGTAAAAAGCTGCTAACCCGTCCCTGTCCCCCCCCCAAATATTCCTCTCTCACACACATTGGCTCTCCCCTAAGACCCCTTCCCCAACTTCTCCCCAAAAGCAACAGACCAAGGGCTAATGCCAGATACCATGGGGGCTTCTAAGACCCTGCTTCATGCGCTGGTATCTCTTCTGACTGGTTGGGACCCTGGACCACACCTGTTGCTAAACATTTAGAGTAGAGTATTGCTTGGCGAGGGGGTATAGAGAGGGGCTGGGAAGCCTTAGGGAAAGGAAGGATGACAGAGAGGATGGAGGGGTGTGTGTGTGTGTGTGTGTGTGTGTGTGTGTGTGTGTGTGGCAGGGGGAACAGCCCAGCTGAGCCGGGAAGCCACAGGAGAGCAGGTGGGTAAGAAAAGGGGAAAGGCGAGAGAGACCACAAAGGGGACACCTGGTGGGCAGGGTGTCGTTTCCCATCACTCACTCTGGCCGCAGGCAGCTGCTGTCCCGTAGCCTCCAGATTGGGTCAGCCAAAAGGTGAGCAGCCCGAAGCTGGTATTGGCCATGGTCATGTGGATCATGTTAGTACTGTTGAGGTCCACTTCAGCATACGAGAACTCACTGCCTGGAACAGTCGCCCAGGTGAGCCTGGTCCCCAGCTCGTGTCCATCAATGGTCAGCTTGTCAGCAGCCTTCGTCTGTGCCACCACTAGGGCCACACCCTTAGAGCCTGGGAAGTTTTTGACCACATAGGCAGGACAGTAGGCCTCCACATCTGGGATCAGGACCAAGTAGGGGTCATAGGTCACTCTGTCCCTTGTGCCACCCGTGCCAAACAACAGGACTTGGATGCCCACATCTGCAGATAGGAAGAGTGGCCAGGATGGCCGGACCTCAAACTCAATCACGTCACCCTCCTGGAGTCCCCTGGAGCCGATGATGTTCCCGTGGTTGTAGGTCAGCTTCGTGGGCTGGCTGGCCACGGCATAGACCACATCGAAGCGGGTCTGGGAGGCCAGAGGGGGCACCACATAGTGGGTGCCCCAGGCAGACGTGGGTAACAGCTGCTCCACCACATGGTTGCAGCTTGTGTGTTTCTGGGCACAGCTGTGGCCGGAGAGGACAACCACAGGGCTACTGGCTGTGACCTTTGACCCTGAGAGATCAGCCGTGCTCTGTACCTGGGCCACTTGGTAGGGCTTGAGAGTCACAGTTAGGACACTGCCCCCCGGGTAGAAGTTGCCCTGGAATGTCACTGCCGCCTTCAGCTGCACACTGATCGAGGCACCCTTCGCACCAGCCACCACAGCAAACTCCTTGACATTCTTAGCCGAGGCACTAGGGGGTGTGAACACAAAGTACGTTGTTCCCAGGGTGCTGACAGGCCGCAGCAGTGTCAGATCCTCTGTGTTGGGCTTAGTGTTTATGGCCTGCACAGAGATGTTGCGATCAGAGCGGACCAATACCGCGTGCTGGAAGATATTGCTGCCGATCATCTCAGCCTTGGTGCTGATGTTGACCATGACCGACTGCCCAGGCTTCACTGGGACATTCTGCGAGGTGCCATCTGCCTGGCTGAGGATGGTAACTGAAGCAGAGCTGTCCGACAGACTGGTGATGAGGAGGTAGAGATTGCCCTTGACATACCCGGGCTGGTAGTTCTGCAGGAAGGCTGTGAGGAATTCCTCCCCTTCAGCATTGCTGGGGTCCGCTGAGGCCTCCTGGGTCAACCCTGGGGTGAGAAAATGCACTCATGGGTCTATTTATCCATCAGAGAAGTAACCCCTTGCCCTGTGCCTGGATAACCTGTCAAATATTAACTTGGGCTTTTCTCCCTCTTTTCTCTTTCCTTTCTCCTTTTTCTTGCAGCATTTACCTACCAGCCTTTCTGACTTTGTCTTCCAAAAACCTGAATGCTTTGGACAGAGAACTCAAATTCAAGTGTGAAGCAAGTAATGTAAATATGGAAAACAGTTTGGGTGGCAATTGTGCAAATGGAGCATTCAGACACATCAAAAGTGGGGTGTTGCTACTAGCTTTAGCCTGTTGTTATTTTGACAGCTTATCGACTCTTTTTTCCTTTTTTATGCCAGATTTTACCTTTTTGTGTGTGTGTGTGAGTAACTGGCTGCCTGAATTTCCATGTGAAATCTCCAACCCAAAATTGTTTTAAGCTCTATGGGCTGGATTCAGTTGCCAGTTTGTGATAATAGAACTGGAGGTGGGGTGGGGAGTGTGAAGTGGGTAAAGGGAAGAAAGGAGTTCTGGAATATGAGCAAAATGTCTCCAAGAAATAGAGAGCAGTTTGGACTTTTCAACACCCCCAAATGGAAAGAGATGCTCCAGAAGAGAGAGGAAGGGGGAAAGGGAAGAGGGAGAGAGAGAGAGAGAGAGAGAGAGAGAGAGAGAGAGAGAGAGAAGGAGAGAG